CGCGCCTGCCCGCACCGCCGGCGCCCCGCGGCGCCCCTGCGCCCGGGGACAGAACAGCCCCGCCGCGGGGCTGGGGGCCCCCGCGAGCCAATTCGCCCTGTGCCCGCCTGCGGCTCACGCTTGGTTATCCCTGCGCTTTTCATCGTCACCGGCCACAGAAACCATAAAAAAACCCCGAAACTAAAAATAGCTCCAAGCCAAGGCATTAGCCGATGCACAGAGACACAAGGAGGGACCTTCTGCTGCACCATGTGTAATCCCCGGCTGAGGGAATCACAGAACCACAGGCTGCTTTGGGATAGAAGGGACCTTCAAAGGCCATCTAGTCCATCCCCCCTGCAATGGGCAGGGACATCTTCAACTAGACCAGGTTGCTCAGAGCCCCATCCAGCCTGGCCTTGAATGCTTCCAAGGATGGGGCATCTACCGCCTCTCTGGGCAACCCGTTCCAGTGTTTCACCACCCTCATCATGAAAATTTTTTTCCTTGTTTTCAGTCTAAATCTACCCTCCTTTAGTTTAAAACCATTACCCCTTGTCCTGCCACAGCAGGCCTTGCTGAAAAGACTATCCCCATCCTTCTTGTAGTAACCCTTTATGGAAAGGCTGCAATAAGGTCTCCCTGCAGCCTTCTCTTCTCCAGGCTGAACAAACCCAACTCTCTCAGCCTTTCCTCATAGGAAAGGTGTTCCATCCCTCTGATCATTTTTGTGGCCCTCCTCTGGACCCGCTCCAACAGGTCCATGTCCTTCCTGTGCTGGAATCAGGGAGGGGTTGCAAAAGTGGTTCAGGCACAGCTCTGCGGGGACCCCTGGCACCAGCAAGGAGCTGAGCCCAGAAAGCAGGAAAGCGATGCTCTGCTCCAGGAAAGGCAGAGCCTGCGCTGGCGCTGGGAGCTTGGGAGTCACCACCACCAGCGTATTGCTGGGACATGGAGCGTTCTGTGTCCCCCGGAGGGTTGTCACAGTCTCCCAAAGCTGAGAGATGCCTGGAGGGCAAAACATCACCTGCGCTGAATCTAAGGCAGGGGGACACTAACATTCATCACTGCTGTTAATGCTTTTTGAGTCTCATACTTCATAAATGCTGTGAATGCCCTCAACCCATGTTAAAGCCCCTGAAGTCCTTGTGGCTAGCTAGCCCCCCCAGGGCCCAGCATGGCTCAGTGCCCCAAGCCATGCGGCTGCTGGCCCAGCTACTCCTCCTTGAAGCCCCTTCCAGGCCAGTGTGGGGACAGGGAAGTCACCTCCGCTGCCTGCTCCGCTCTTTGCCATTGCATTTATTGCTGGTATTTCTCCTGAGCCAAAGAGCAGCAGCAGGGTTGTTCCTGCAATATTAGCCATCCCCTCTTTTACAGCATTTGTAAAATAAATATCAACTGTATCTGACAGCTTAACTAGAAAGCCCCGGAGAAAGAAGTGTACTGCAGAAGACAGATACTGCTTTTAATTTAAGATGCTTTCACCACACAGCGTGCAGTGAGGATTGTCAGGCTGGAGTGGGATCATTTCTCATATTCATATTTCATCCTGAGGATGCGTGTTACAGCTTTGCATGGAGATAAGATTACCTGCTAACACATGCCATCATTAAAAATACAGGCAGCTTGCTGTGATGGTCTCCAGAGGTGACACTGGGCGCAGTTTTGATGGAAATCATCATGTGGTGATAGCATGAAAAGTGCAGGGAGCTCCGTCCCTACAACATGCAGCTGGCAGAAAAGCTCCTTGGCACATGTGAGGCGGTGTTACCTCTGCGCTCTGCACAGACATTCGAAAAGCAAGGCACAGGCGTCGTATGGGCTGGAAATGAAAATGTTTTGTGCACCGGGGTTGTCCTGATCAGCTGGCCTTTGAGCTGGCGTGAGTTCAGGCTTTTCTCTGTGACCTAGTAAAGGTAATGAGCTTCCAAGGGCAAGTGGAGAAAGCTGTGACTGATCACCTGACTCCAGGAGCTGGAGCATTAAAGAAAAAAACACCAGAAATAGAAGAATAGGGTCAAATCTGTGAGTGATGTCACCAGCAGATCCGGCACCGCTCTCATCTCTTCTGCCTGAATTGCTCTAGCAAAAGCTTTCTTAAATGCTGCTGTGAAGGATAATCCCAAGGCAAGTGGCAACCGGGGCTGCCCCAAGAATTAGTGGCTGATCTGTGTGCAATGCGTTTGTGCTTTAGGAATTTACCTTCAGGCTGTGAGCTCATGCGCGGGTCCAGGAGTGCCAGGTCCAGCCCAGGAGATGCTATTTCAGCCCTCGGTGTTGTGGCCAGGCAGAACCTCCGGGGAATTCCTCCTCTCCCCTCCATCACTTCTAACCCTCTCCCTCCCTCCTCCTTCATCCGCACTGCTGAAGACAGCTTTGAGCTTCAAGTCAAAAGGCTTCCTTTTCTAAACAGGCCACAAAAATTTCTTTGCCCCCAACGGCCAAAGTCCAAAGGAGAGACTTCCCTCCTCTGCACCCCTCGTTTTTTCACCCCAGCCTTGATTGTGAGTTATAAATAAAGGCAAGATTAGATAGACAGGATGATCAAACCTAGGGGATCTTCTAAAAAAAAGGCCTTATATCAGATGATCCCAAGGGGATGGAGATAAACAGGAGTGTTGCAGTGGTGAATTATGCTGCAGCTAATGCCAGCTATCCATAAATAAGCTGTTAAGGCCTCCGCTGAATATTAAGTGCAGAAATAACAGTGTTAATCGCAGCTGAGAGGAGTCTGCCAAGTCCATTCAGTAGCAAATTTAGGGAGAGGAAAATCGTCTTTTCTACGAGCTCCCCTCCTCTGTTTTTTCTCCCCCCCC